TCCGGATCCAACGCATCATCCTCCGACACTTCCGCCATCTGCAATCCGACCCCACCACCAAAGACATCTTTCCCTCCCCACCTTTATCTGCTTTCCGGAGGGACAACTCTCTCCGTGACTCCCTTGTCCGCTCCACACTCCCCTCCAGCTCCACCACACCCGGCACTTTTCCCTGCAACCGCAGGAAGTGCTACACCTGCCCCCATACCTCCTCCCTCACCCCCATCCCAGGCCCCAAGAAGACTTTCCACATCAAGCAGATGTTCACCTGCACATCTGCCAATGTGGTATACTGCATCCGCTGTACCCGGTGTGGCTTCCTCTACATCGGGGAAACCAAGCGGAGACTCGGGGACCGCTTTGCAGAACACTTACGCTCGGTTCGCAACAAACAACTGCACCTCCCAGTCGCGAACCATTTCAACTCCCCCTCCCATTCCTCAGACGACATGTCCATCCTGGGCCTCCTGCAGTGCCACAACGATGCCACCCGAAGGTTGCAGGAACAGCAACTCATATTCCGCTTGGGAACCCTGCAGCCCAATGGTATCAATGTGGATTTCACAAGTTTCAAAATCTCCCCTCCCCCTACCGCATCCCAAAACCAGTCCAGCTCGTCCCTGCCTCCCTAACCTGTTCTTCCTCCCACCTATCCCCTCCTCCCACCTCAAGCCGCACCTCCATCTCCTACCGACCAACCTCATCCCGCCCCCTTGACCTGTCCGTCCTCCCTGGACTGACCTATCCCCTTCCTAACTCCCTACCTACACTCACCTTTCCTGGCCCCATCCCCGCCTCTTCGACCTGTTTGTTTCCTCTCCACCTATCCTCTCCTCTATCCCTCTTCTATCCGCCTCCCACTCTCTCCCTATTTATTTCAAAACCCCCTTCCCCTCCCCCTTTTCTGATGAAGGGTCTAGGCCCGAAACGTCAGCCTCTCTGCTCCTATGATGCTGCTTGGCCTGCTGTGTTCATCCAGCCCTGCACCTTGTTGTCTCGGATTCTCCAGCATCTGCAGTTCCTACTATCTCTAAGGCTAAGAGATTGCCTTCTTTAAAGGACATTAATGAACCAAATGAGTTTTTACAACAATCATTTCACAGTAACGTGTGCAGCACAGTGGCTCAGTGACAGCACCAGGGACCTGGATTCAATTCCACCTTCAGTGTAAAGTTTGCATATTCTCCCCGTGCCTGTGTGGGTTTCCTCCCACAGTCCAAAGATGTGCACATTCGGTGGATTGGCTATGCTAAATTGCCTATCACGTGCAGGGATGTGCAGGCTAGACACTACAAGAACGGTTGAATGGATACTGTGTAACAATCGTCAAACAGGGATGTTTCCTCCCAGTGGGGGAACAATTCAGTGGTCAAGGTCACTCGGCCTTGGATCTTTGGGTAAATGTCCTCCAAGGTCGCCTTCAGGATACACAACAACGCAGCGTCACCGAGCAGAGCCTGTTAGCCAAGTTCGGTACCAAAGAGGACGGCCTCAACTGGGATCTTGGATTCACGTCGCACTACAGGTGACCCCACCACACTACACGCTCTCTCACACACACATATACGCACACACTCTCTCATACAAACACACTTGCACAGACCCTCTCAGTCACACACACACACACACGTACATGTGCTCTTTCTAACACACACACACGTGCGCTCTTTCTCTCACACACACACACACACACAGGCTCAAGCGCCCACACACGCACTCTCTCACACACACACGTGCGCTGCTTCTCACACACACACTCACAAATACACGTGCGCTCTCTCTCACACACACACGCGCCCACGCACACACACGCCCTCATACACACACGTATGCTTTCTCTCTCTCAAACACGCATATACACACTCTTTCACTCACACACGTGCACACACACTCACATGTGCACACACACTCGCTCACACATATGCACACATGCTCTCTCTCTCTCCCTCACATGCATGTGCACACACATATATATAAGTCTGTGGGGTGAACTTGCATTTGCAGATTTGTAATTGCAGATACATTTTATTTTGTCCAAAAAGCACCCAATTTGTCGACAGTCATTGTGGCATTTTATAAATTCCTACTTTGGAAATAAAACCAATCTGACTCCAAGTTCTTACACAGCCAGATTCTAAACAAGGCCACATACTTAAAATGCATTGTCCGACTTGGGATGTCAATTCTGGCATACTAATAAAACCGCTAGTTATCTCGGGGCAGTGACTTGAAAGAAATTCTGATACTTGCATATTAATAATTTCTGATTGATTAAAGATTTAACAGGCATCTTAGGTTTGTTCAACACAGCATCAGTTCTATGGCCCTTTGATCTTTTGCTTATAAATTCTGTGTCCATGTTTGTAGATTCAGGAATTTGCCCCCTCAATGCATATAATGGAGGAGTGAAAATACAGGCCTTTTTTTAAAATACAAACATTAAAACAACTTTATACCTTTATAAATCAGCTTCATGCTCACCGCAGCAATGCGGCAGCCCTCCTTATCCCACCACTGCAGCATCTCTCTGTGTTCACACTGCAAAAACCTTCTCCATCCGAATGTGTCTGGCTAATTCTCACTGTGGGAATCTTTAGCTTGTGAATAATTTGCACTGTGGAAAATTCTCACCAGTTCAGTGCATGATTATGCTACTGTGGTGTGATGGGAACGGACGCTGCAGCATTTATAAATGACAGATGAGCTGTTGGGGCAGGGATTGAGAAGGAAGTTACCACGTTGAGATTGAGAAGGACGCTCGACACTTGCGCTGCCGGGATGGAGAGAGCTTCTGCACCATTCTAAATGGCGAAAGATGTTGCTGAGCTAGTATGTAGTAGAACTCTCCTGTGCGACGTTGGACACGAAAGCTGCAGCATTCTGGTTCACAGATGATAAAGTGACATCCTTGAACACGGGGTCCCTTCCTTGTCAAAACTCTCCAGTGTGCTGCTAAATACAATCACTGCAGCATATATCCACAATTTTCTACTGGTGACAAAAACTGCAGAATTCTTTTAGAACCTACCATTGCAGTATCATTATCTACCTTAGAAATCATTCACATCTCAACACACAGTTCCCTTGTCTTACCAACATAGGTATTTACCAAACAAGAAAACATCCTTTTGTCTACTAACTTCACACTCTCCTTCTGTATGTCAATGCCTGTTAGCATTCCCATCTTAGTCTGCAGCAGACTGACCCAATTAAATACTGCTGCATATTTTCTATGATGGTAATGTGGTACAACAGTGGTACATCCTTCTCCATCCCAATACAATAGCAATGATCTTGATTCCAAAAAAACACACACACTTACCAAGTAACTTATTTCAGTCAAACACTGTTGCACGCAACACCGTTTGAAATATGAACATACTGAATTAGGCCACTCAGCCCCTTGAGCCTGGTCTGCCCTCACCCCACAACTTCTTTCTCCTCGTAAACAGATTCCATCCCCATTCCAACGCTGCAGCAACCTATCCATTGCAACAAAGCAGCATCATTTCAAATCTCAATACAGCAGCGTCTTCCAGCATCACAACACAACCATATCGTCTCAAGCCTCAAAGTGCAGCCTCTTCATCAAGCCCAACAGAGTAGCCTCATTCTCAATCCCAACATGTTAGCGTCCATCTTTGTCTAAATCTGCAAAAACAAAACCAATGAGCAAGAAATCGATGTGCGGAAACCAACCCTCAAAGAGGTATTCAATTCAGTTCATCTTGAAATGTTTAAATGTAAATCAATAAGTTTACTTTCAGAGTATAATATTTTGAGCATAACATTTTATCATCGATAACAGCAAACATTGGGTTTTTCTCATTTATTTAGTCTATTGTGGACTAATGGAAAGAAGAGATCATCAACATTAGTCGACAGTTCCATAGTAAATTGCATCCCATGATGACCAGAGTGGTAGACAGTGAACTAGATGGATCTTGGTGAGCTTTGTTAACAAACCTTTAAGTTGTGATGTAGACTTAAAGTTCATTACAAAACGCAAACATGCATATAAGTAACTCTCCTTGTCTCTTTGCTCCACAGTTTCTCCCTGTCGCTCTGCTCCAGAATCTCTTACTGCCTCTTTCTCCACAATTTCAAGAATCACCACCTCCTCCTGTGCTCCAGTATCTCTCCCTGTCCCTCAACTCCAGAAACTGTCTGCTATCTCTCTCTGAATGTCTGCTCCAGAAACTCTCCCTGTCACTGTATAACAGAATCTGGCTTTAACCCTCCAAACCTGGTTCTTGCCTTTTCCCTGTGTTCCAGAATTTGATCCAAGATCTTTCTCAGGCCCTCTGCTCCAAAATCTTTCTCTGTGCCTACGACCAAGAACAACTCCCATAACTCTGCTCAAGAATCTTTCTATCACTCTGCTGCAGGTTCATCATATGTCCCCCTGTCCCAGACTGTCTTCCTGTCCCTCTTTCACCACATTCCTGTGTTCCAGGCTTTTTCTGAATCTCTCTACTCCGAACCTCTCCTCCTGTGCACTCTCTCCTGTAATCACACGGAAATTGCTTGTCTTGAGAATTAAATGGAAAATGGTAAAGCGAAGCATAGAGCAATGACAACCTGACTACCATTTCCAAGCACAAAAACAAAGTTGCTGGAAAAGCTCAGCAGGTCTGGCAGCATCTGTGAAGAAAAAATCAGAGATAACGTTTCAGGTCCGGTGACCCTTCCTCAGAATGTTCCGAGGAAGGGTCACCGGACCTGAAACGTTAACTCTGATGTTTTTTTTCACAGACGCTGCTAGACCTGCTGAGCTTTTCCAGCAGCTTTGTTTTTGTTCCTGATTTACAGCATCTGCAGTTCTTTCGGTTTTTATTATTTCCAGGCAGTCTTTGTAACTCAATTACCTCCTATTACCTGAAGAAGGGGTTTCTTCTGTGTCTTGAATCATATCCAGTGTTACTACCCCAAAATAGCTCACATTATGTTTAGTTTAAATACAGACATCACTCTAAGCTTTATGTTTTTTTTTCTCTTACCTGGCGCAGGCTGTCACCTTCAGCGTAAACAATGACTACCAGCGCAATAACAGGGACCCAAAGGAAACAGAATGTTAACATAAGCCAGCCAAGGGCTATTGCCCAAGAAGGATACTCCACAAATCCATATTCTGGTTTTCTAAATATTATTATAGACCAGATTAGCATTAGCTAAAAAAAAAAGAAAAAGATGTTAAATGAGCCAAAAACATGCCGCTTGATCAATGGTAGTTTAAGGCACTAAAAGATGGAACATCCACTTACTGTCAGCAGAATAGGTGTAACAATAATCCAACAGGCTCTCCACCACAGCCAGAAGAGCCAACTCCTTTCCCCAATCATCATCTCAATGTCCTTGATGAATCTGTTTATCCCTGTGAACAACAAGAAAACAGAGAGACACCATCACTCGCTTTGTCCTGTCTTCTGGGCAGCTTATTTCTGAATTTGAAGTTCATCCTGTTTTAGGTGCTACTGTTGAACAGTCAACTTCAAATTCTCAGTATTTTGGACATGTCTGGTAAATAAATCCCAATGCCAATTTACTTCCTTCTGCTAATCTAAGCGCTTCAGGGATTCCAACCACTTTGACTTTCGCTTACCATAAATCCAGCTTAAGCCGATGACTTCCAGTATTGCAATCAAAATTAGGCCCCATCCAGAACAGAAGTGATCAATTAAAGTTATCCAGTAAATCCCAGCCTAAAAAATGCATTGAGAAAACAGATAAAGAAGATGGTCCTTTTCAGAATGCCAAATACTGAACAAACTGTGTTTTACTTAAAACTAAGATAACCACACATCCCATTCTCTTGGAGACAGTCGCTAAAGTTCGATACAATATAACCTTTGTTAAAGTACAGTTGAAATAGAATTTATGGCTACTTAGCAATGCTGAGGGGTTATTTATTTGGCTCACACAGTATTTCCCATTGTCTCACTATAACATCTCTTCTCCCAATACCCCATTGCCAATCCAGTTGGCCTGAAACAATTTCACAAACCAGCAGTGATGAACCTTTTTATTTCCGGCATCCTAGCACACCCAATCACAGAATCAATTTCTAGACATCAAATAACATTTTTAGGAAGGTTGTAATCAATTCTTTCTTAATTCAAGGATATTTGGTAGCAGTGGTTAAACCTATTTTGCTTCTCAGAGCCACTTGTATTTTTGGACTGATTTTCACTGCACTGAAATAAGTAGGTAAGATTACAGGAAGTCCTTGCTTAATGTTAATTGGGTATATGAAACCGCAATGTTAAGTGGAAGAACATGTTGCAAAACAGTCTGTCTGAGGCTCATAATCCTGTCCTGCTCCCCTCCTTACTCGAGACCTGCATCCCAGCTCTGGCAAGCTCAATATGGGAGCTAGGCCAAAACGTCCTGGCATGCAATGATGTTAATGCAAAGCAGCAGCAATGCAGTGCAAATGCAGGGCTATAATTGCAGGGGGTTGTTAATGCAAAATAGTGTTGCATGGCATGACATTAAGTGAGGGCTTCCTGTATGGTAAAACTATTAAAAATTGCTTGTAATTTTTATATTACCTCACAATTGCTGAAAGCAAATCTGACTCACGGCTATAATTTACTTCCAAGATGCAGCGTACTTAAAGGACATCTTGACACTGAGAGACAGATTGGTTTTAATGCTTCACACATTTAATTATGTGCTCATTACTTCTCAATAGCATGAAATCAGGGGAAAATTGATTGTGTTTGTCTAACATGGAATATCCTGTACCACATAAAAATATTGATGTCTGTTTAATGTCTCCGATGATAGAGGACTTTTTAAAATCCTTTATGGGATGTGTACATCATTGGCAAGGGCAGCCTTGATTGCCCATCCCAAATGACCTTTGAGAATGTGGTGATGAGCCACCCTCTTGCAATGTTGCAGTCATGAAATGCAGGTACACCCACAGTGCTGTTAGGAAGGGATTTTGAGAATTTTGACCAGATGACAATAGTTCCAAGTCAGGATGGTATGTGGCTTGGATGGGAACCCGAGGTGATGGTATGCACATGCATCTTGAGTCATTGGCCTCCTAGTTGGTAGAGGTTGCAAGTTTAGAAAATTCTGCTCAAAAAAGCCATGGTAAGTTGTTTAGTGGACTTTGTACACTGGGCACACTGTGGCTTGGTGGTGGACGGACTGACTGTTTAAGTTGGTGGATTGGGTGCTGACCAAACAGGGTGCCCAACTAAAGCAGCAGCAGAGAAAGCAAAAGAGTCTCTGTTAGAGACTGTGAGAGAGGGGGTTGCCACAGCACAGATAAAGGAAGAGGAAGTGGAAATCAGAGAGTCGCTGTGAGACCAGCAGAGGCTTCCAACATTACAGGAAGCAAGCTAAGTAAATAGTCAATGAGTACTTCTCTTTTTTTATTATTGAAACATATATCTTCCAAACTAGGAATTGGGCAATTAAGAATTTGAATCAAGTTACTGAGGTACTACATGAATTAATAGCTTATAAGCTCCAAGCAGTACCAACTGAGGCATTAATTGAGACCGATAGCTCAATCAGAGTAATACCCAGATTGTTAAAATGGTAATAGAGGTTTTCTTTTACACTATTGATGGGACTTCCTAACATGTGGGACATTTTACGCATCTTAGGGGTCATGTATATTGGAAGTGTTTCCAACTGCTCCAGCTCAAGGTCAGGATTTGCAAGCTCCAGGGACAGCTGGACTCACTGTGGAACATTAGGAAGGATGAAAATTCCCTGATGGCATGTTCCAGTCGGTGCTCATCCCCTGGCAGTGGAAGTTTAAGACAGCAGGTTGGTAGACATCCAAAAGATACATGCTCCTTTTAAACCAGTACAACATTGGAACCTGTTGGGAGTGACGATACCCTGAGTAGTGTGGTTGAGAACATGATACTAATCACCAAATGGCAGCAAAGTATATAAATACAGTTGTTATAGGACATTCCACAGACAGGGGGACAGATATGCTTTTCTGTGGCTATGATTGAGATTCCCATGTGGTGTTTTGCCTCCATGGTTCCAGGACAAAAGTCACCACCAAAGAGAATGCAAAATGTTCTGGAGGAGGAAGGAATTGAGCCAGATGTTGTGGTACTCATTGATTCTAACAATATACAGAGGCAAGCATTTATGGTCAGATTTCCAGGAGCTAGGAAAGAAGTTAAAAAGTAGGACATTAATGATGGTATTGTTGGTTCCTCCCAGGGGCACATATTAGTGAAAGCACAACTAGGAAGATAGCTAGAGTCCTTGCATGTTTGGGAGTACATTGCAGGAGGAAGGACTTCAGGTTCCTCGGCACTGCAGTCAATATTGGGGCAGAAAGCATCTATTCAAAATGAACAGTTTGCACTTGAACAGGCCTGGGATCATTGCCCTCACAGAGAGTTGCACAAGTTTGACTGGAGAGGATTTAAACTATATTGGTGGTAATGGCTACCAACATAATGAAGGAGAGAAAAGTAAGCATAAATTCAGCAGAAAGCGAGAGTGCTTGGCAGTGAATGAGAAGGAAATAGTTTCATATTGAATAGAAGCTTTAAAAAAAAGTAATAGTAAGCTTTTAGGTAGGTTCAGTGTATGAGAGAAAGGAATAAAACTAATTTAAGCATTCTGTGGAACGTGTATATGAATGCATGGTGTGTGTTGAAGACGACGAGGGAGTTACAGATGCAAATTACAATGTGGAAATACCATGTGCTAATTGACAGAGTGTGACAACGCTGAGGTTTTAAGAAGTTATTTTGTCCTTTTTTTAAAAGAGGTTTTAAGACAGAGGTGGAGAGCTATCTATTTTGCAAGCCAATAAAGTAACCAGCTTGTGAGGCCTTGGGGTTTTTATTGAAGTTGGAACAATTGAAGCAGCCTGGATGGGTGTGGCCAGCTCTCACAGACCAGGATTTCTATTTTTTTTAAGCAGTTGCTGTTGGAGTCCCAACAGGGCAGAAGCTGCAGGAGTTTTGAAAAAGTAGAACATAGAACATAGAACATTACAGCGCAGTACAAGCCCTTCGGCCCTCGATGTTGCGCCGACCTGTGAAACCAATCTGAAGCCCATCTAACCGAAACTATTCCATTATCATCCATATGTTTATCCAATGACCATTTAAATGCCCTTAAAGTTGGCGAGTCTACTACTTTTGCAGGCAGGGCATTCCACGCCCTTACTACTCTCTGAGTAAAGAACCTACCTCTGACATCTGTCCTATATCTATCACCGCTCAATTTAAAGCTATATCCCCTCGTGCTAGCCACCACCATCCGAGGAAAAAGGCTTCCACTGTCCACCCTATCTAATCCTCTGATCATCTTGTATGTCTCTATTAAGTCACCTCTTAACCTTCTTCTCTCTAATGAAAACAGCCTCAAGTCCCTCAGCCTTTCCTCAAACGATCTTCCCTCCATACCAGGCAACATTCTGGTAAATCTCCTCTGCACCCTTTCCAATGCTTCCACATCCTTCCTATAATGTGGTGACCAGAACTGTACGCAATACTCCAAGTACGGCCGCACCAGAGTTTTGTACAGCTGCAACATGACCTCATGGCTCCGAAACTCAATCCCTCTACCAATAAACCCTAACACACCGTACGCCTTCTTAACAATCCTATCAACCTGGGTGGCAACTTTCAGGGATCTATGCACATGGACACCGAGATCTCTCTGCTCATCCACACTACCAAGAATCTTACCATTAGCCCAGTACTCTGTATTCATGTTACTCCTTCCAAAGTGAATCACCTCACACTTTTCTGCATTAAACTCCATTTGCCAGCTCTCAGCCCAGCTCTGCAGCTTATCTATGTCCCTCTGTAACCTGCAACATCCTTCCGCACTATTCACAACCCCACCCACTTTGGTGTCATCCGCAAATTTACTAACCCATCCTTCTACGCCCTCATCCAGGTCATTTATAAAAATGACAAACAGCAGTGGCCCCAAAACAGATCCTTGAGGTACACCACTAGTAACTGAACTCCAGGATGAACATTTCCTATCAACCACCACCCTCTGTCTTCTTACAGCTAGCCAATTTCTGATCCAAACCGTTAAATCATCCTCAATCCCATGTCTCTGTATTTTCTGCAATAGCCTACCATGGGGAACCTTATCAAACGCTTTACTGAAATCCAAATACACCACATCAACCGCTTTACCCTCATCCACCTGTTTGGTCACCTTCTCAAAGAACTCAATAAGGTTTGTGAGGCACGACCTACCCTTCACAAAACCGTGTTGACTATCCCTAATCAAATTATTCCTTTCTAGATGATTATAAATCCTATCTCTTATAATCCTTTCCAATACTTTACCCACAACCGAAGTAAGGCTCACTGGTCTATAATTACCAGGGTTGTCTCTACTCCCCTTCTTGACCAAGGGGACAACATTTGCTAGTCTCCAGTCTTCTGGCACTATTCCTGTAGACAATGATGACATAAAGATCAAAGCCAAAGGCTCTGCAATCTCCTCTCTAGCTTCCCAGAGAATCCTAGGATAAATCCCATACTGCCCAGGGGACTTATCTATTTTCACACCTTCCAGAATTGCTAACACCTCCTCCTTATGAACCTCAATCCCGTCTAGTCTAATAGTCTGTATCTCAGTATTCTCCTCGACAACATTGTCTTTTTCCTGCGTGAATACTGACGAAAAATATGCATTTACCACCTCTCCTATCTCTTCAGACTCCACACACAAC